TCTTTGTTGACATTCTCGCTGAGTTCATCTATTCTTCTCCCCAGATCAGTGAGCATCCTTAACACTCTTTGTTTGAACTCTCTGTTGGGTAGGTTGCTCATTTCTGTTTCACTTAGTTCCTTTTCTGGGGTTTTGTCCTGTTCCCTTACTTGGAATGTATTCCTTTGCCTCCTCATTTTGCCTCTTTCCCTGTGCTGTGTCTGTGTATTAGGTAGGTCGGCTGCGTCTCCTGTTCTTGGATAGGTGACCTTATGTAAGTGATGCCTTAGGAGGCCTGCAGTGTGCTTCCCTCAGTTCTCAATTTTCCAGGAGTGACCCCTATGTGGGCTACCTGTGTCCTTCTGTTGTGGCCTGTTTGCTCTCCCTGTAGGCGCCCAGGGAGGCTGAGTTATGCTCCTGGCCAACTGTTGTGATGCTCAGGTGCTTGTAGTTGTTGTGGGCCCTTCAGTCTCTTTATTGGGTGTGGGAAGCCCCAGCACAGTTAGCTGAAAGTTCTATTACCACATTTGTGTTGCAGTATTTCTTTTAAGTGAGTAGGCCCCCCAGCGTGGCAGGTTGTTAGGCTCAGGTTCTTACAATTGCCATAAGCCTCCAGCCTTTAGGTCTCTTGTCAGCTCTCTGAGGATTGCAGCTGGATGGGGCTGGCCTCAGGCACGGGAGCACCCAGTTGTTTCAGGCTTTGCAAGGTGGGGCAAACCCCCTATGTGGGTCTTTGAGATAAGTTTTTTTTTTGCACAAGTTTTCTGCAGCTGACAAGCCCCGCCGCCCGCAGGTCCACACACATAGTCAACACAGTCCTGCCCCGTGTGTGCACCCCGACCTGAAGTGGACCCAGTCTCTCCACAGCAGGAGCCCCACACACTCCACCACCGCCCCACACTCTCCAGCCGCTCCTTGTGTACGCCCTGCCCCACTGACGTGGGCTCAGTGCCAGGCTGCAGAGAATCTAGTCACTAATCTGTGCAGGCCCACAAGTTGCCTGAGGGCTTGTTGTTGGGTGAGGCTAGTCCCTAAGGTGGGCTGCCTGCCCTGGCTGAGCTGGATTAAATCGGTGCTCTAGTGGGTGGGGCAGACCCTGAGCTAGCAGGCCCGAGGGAGAACTCCAATGGCGTCTGTGTCAGCACACCCACACCAGGCCACAACAATGGCCGCTGCCATTGTCCCAGTCCCTGGAGAGGTCTCACCTCTCACCGAGATGCACTCAGAGCCTATCAGGTGAGTCTCTTCCCCAAAGGGCTGTGCACCTTTCTTTCTGGTGATTTTAGGTTGCTTTCTGAAACGGCTGAGTTTTTGTGTGGGCCCTTTAAGAGCCGGTTTTAATTTCTTTGTGAACCAGCTTTGCTGGGGGTATTCCCCAATGTTTTAGTAGCAGGCAAAGTCAGATATTATGCCACTCGTCTAGATCGTGCTGGGTTCACAAAATGCCTACAGCTGGAATGCTCCCTGGCTCCGGGCCCCGCTCCTCCAGGGAGGGCCGCGGACCTTTGGGCTGCTCCTGGGCGCTGTGAAGTGCTGTGGCTTGTGAAGGCGGCGTTTTTTCTCTCCAGAAGGGAGTTTCTGCCTCTTCCACCTGAATTAGGATTGTCCTTTGTTGCAGGAGTTCCTCTTATCCAGTTTTCAGTTCTGTCTCAGGGGTAATTTTTCCAAGAGTAGTTGTAAATTGGCTGTGTCTGCGGGAGGAGGTGAGTTCAGAGTCTGCTTACGCCGCCATCTTGACTTCTCTGGCTTTGATGATTTTAAATGAGAGATTAAAAATGCATTAGCTAAAAGGAACTAAATATTAACAGAATCAAACGTTTCCCCAATGAATAGTACTTAAGTACAGCTCACTGCCACTCATCTCCCCACTTTGGGTAGAAGAAATTAATGAAGTTCAGAAATAAGACAATGACTACATATTTGCCAATTTTGTCACGTGCAGACTTTCCATAGTTGTTCATATTTTAAAAATCATTAATATCTTTTTCCTTTATATCTTGTTTTAAAATTATTTCATAGCTCAACTTGGATGTTCTCTTCAAATCCACGAGAATTCAACGTAGACTTTTCTATAATGAAATTCAATTTGTGCTTCCTGTCTCAATTGTAAGTTAATGCATATTCTGGCACCCAACTTTATCTTTTTTTTTTTTGACATTATCTCTTTCAGCACAGTGGAGAATTTACAGTCTCTCTCAGTGATGTCTTATTGACTTGGAAATACTTACTACGTGAGAAATTGAACTTACCAGTGGAAAGTATGGAAGTGACTGACCATTATGAGGACATTAGGAGGACTTATGAAAGTTTCTTAAAGAATAGTAATATGTTAGATCTGATCGATGTTTATAAAAAATGGAGTGTTTTGACTTCTAATTGTGAAAATAATGCCAACATATCCCCTGTAAGTATTTTTTTTAAACAGTTCTATCTTAAATTAAAATTTGGCTAGATTTATTTTAAATTATGGTATCAGCATTTACAGTAACTTTATAATGCTTTTGCTTTTGGATCATGTTAAGAATAGAAAATTTTATCTACCTGAAAGCTAGTCATGACTTGAAAGAAATATTTTCGTGGTAAATTTTGTTGAACTTGTGTTATTATTTTTTTGTTGACATAATAACAACTTCTTATTTGATCAAAAAAATTTTAACAAAGAAATCAGTCCCAAATGCGTGATTCCTTTTGAATTATATCAAGGATTGTTTTTCTATTTTACTTTCTTGGTTTAATGTGCATCTGTTCATTTGGCATATGTTGTGTAAATGATTGCTATGACTCTTTCTATGGATTAACAATATTATCGTACTGAGATGGGGGTATCATTTTGTGAGGATAGTATGATGCAGTATACATGCGATAATACACTCTTCCTTTTCTTTCGCACAAATGTTCATTGCTTTATTTTTTTATGGAGTATAAATTTTCAAATTAATGGAGAAGCGTCCCTTGCAGTTTGTTTTTGTCTACATTAGAATTAATAAACTGTTTTAGAATATATTTTGATGTATCTAGTTTGTTTTAAAGTGTTGAAAATATTTTTCTTTATCTTAATGTTTACTTAGTGCCAATAAAGTAGTAATTAAATATTGATAATAAATAATTGTAGCTATAATTAGAAGAAAATGTTTAGTGAATTTTCTAAGATATTAAAATATTTTATAAATATTTCTGATACTTGGGAATAGTGTTTTGGCTGCTTATTACAGAAACCTCCACAATAACAGGGGGTTTAAGAAAATGGAAGTTTATTTCACTCTTTTATAAAAGTTGTCTAAAGGAAAGCATCCAGGACTGATATGATAGCTCCGTGGTTATCAGATACCTAGGATTTTTCTGTCATTCTGCTCTCCCATCTTAGCTCTTGACCTCTACACTTAAGACAATTTGTGGCCCAAGATAGCTGTTGGAGCTGCAGACATTTTATCAGCATACTTTGCAGCAGGAAGTAGTAAGGGAGCGCAGCACTCTCTTTTCCTTTTAAAGAGGTATAGATACCGCCTTACGCCCGTCAGAATGGCTATAAGTAACAAGATAAGAAATAACAAATGTTGGAGAGGATGTGGAGAAAAGGGAACCCTCATACACTGCTGGTGGGAATGCAAACTGGTACAGCCACTATGGAAGACAGTATGGAGATTTCTCAAAAAATTAAGAATAGAAATACCATATGACCCAGCTATCCTGTTACTGGGTATTTATCCAAAGAACATGAAATGAATAATTCAAAGTGATTTATGCATCCCTATGTTCATCGCAGCGTTATTCACAATAGTCAAGATGTGGGAGCAACCCAAGTACCCATCTATGGATGAATGGATAAACAAGATGTGATATATATATACAATAGAATACTACTCAGCCATAAACAAAGACAAAATTGTGCCATTTGTGACAAGGTGGATGGACCTTGAGGGTATTAAGCTAAGCAAAATAAGCTAGACAAAGACAAACATCATATGATTACACTCTTGTGGAAGATAAACACCCACAGATAAGGAGAACAGATTAGTGGTTACTAGAGGGGAAGGGGTAAAGGGGAACAAATGTATGGTGACAGATAAAAACTAGACTATTAGTGGTGAACATGATGCAGTCTATACAGAAACTGATACATAATAATGTATACCTGAAATTTACACAATGTTATAAGTCAATATGACCTCAATAAAATAATTAAAAAAAAAAAGAGGTAGCTAGCTCTTTTGCTTCCATCTCATTGCCCAAAGCTTAGTCATATGGCTACACCAAGATGATGCTAGGGAGGATGGAGAATAGGGTGTTTATTCTGGATGGTAACATGCCAAAGTGAACCAAAGCTCTGTTACTAAGGAAGAAGGGGAGAATGGATATTGGCACGCAGTTTGCTATCTTTGCCTCATTGGGCCATCATGAAAACCTTTGCCTTGTAACTTTCTCAAAACACACACAAATGTGTACATGCATACCCACACATGCACACCCACACTATGGTAAGAATGCTGGTGAGTGAAGAAATTTTTTTTTTCCTCCCTTCTGTATTTTATTTTCTTGCTGTAGAGATGATTTTTGACTACTTTTCACATAGAGAGGCTAATAAAACATAAGTATTGGATTGCAGGAACAACAAAGGAGATCTTCTGATAAGCCAGTGAGAGTATAATATGCTTGAGGTCTTTTGGGCACATTGTTTTCATCTTATCTTTTGCCCCTAAGTCCTCTAATTTATTGTTGTTGTGTGCTGCCAAGTCAACTCCAACTCCAGGCGACCCTATAAATGAGTGATGTCCTGTTCTTAGCAACCCTACTCAGCTGCTGTAGACTCGTGCCTGTGGCTTCTTTGATTTAGTCAATCCATCTCATATTTGGTCTTCCTCTTTAACTTCTACTTCCTTCTACTTTTCCCAGCATTGTTGTCTTTTCCAAAGAATCTTGCCTTCTCATGATGTACCCAAAGTAGGACAGCCTCAGTTTTATCATTTTTGCCTCCAGTGATAGTTCAGGCTTGATTTGCTTTAGGACCCACTTGTTTGTCTTTCTGGCAGTCCAGGATATCTGTAGAGCTCTCCTCCAGTACCATATTTCAAAGGAATCGATTTTTTTCCTTTCAGCCTTCTTCACTGTCCAGCTTTCAGACTCATACATAGTAATTGGGAACACGAGAGTGTGGATGATCTTGGCCTTAGTCTCTAGTGACGCTTGCTTACACTTGATGCTCTTTCCTAATTCTTTCATTGCTGCCCTTCCAAGTCTCAGTCTTGATTTCTTGGCTGCATTCTCCATTTAAATTGATGACTGAACCAAGGTAAACAAAATCTTTAACAATTTCAATGTCTTCATTGTCTACCTTAAAGTTGTGTAGTTCTTCCATAGCCATGATTTTTGTCTTGATGTTCAAATGTAGTCCTGCTTTGGTACTTTCTTCTTTCACTTTCATCAGAAGTCGTCTCAACTCATTGCTGCTTTCTGCCAGTAAGATAGTGTCATCTGCATATCTTAGATTGTGCATATTGGCAGTAAAATAATCACAGTGCCAAAATATAATGTAAATAACATTCTTGACGAATTTAAAGTCCACGTGAAAACAGATTTTGCATTGTTAAACTTAATTGACCGTGAACCAGAAGAACTGTGGACTGAAACCAGAAATATTATTAAGGAAGAATGTGAAGAGTTAGAATCCTATCCTGAATGCAGGTTTTCAGTGACTATCACTTAAGGATAAAGAGAACTGCTGTAATGGCCAATGCAAAGAAATAGAAGAAAACAACAACAAAAGAAGAACAAGAGGTCTCTTCCGGAAGATTAAAAAAGTCAAAGGGAAATTTAAACCTAGATTTGGAATGCTGACCAACCAACAGGGAAGCAACTAACTGATCAGCAGAAAATAAAGGGAACATGGAAACGGTATACTGAAGATCTATACAGAAGAGACAAAAGGATGACTTCCTTTGAAGAAGATTCTTATGAGGAAGAACCCATAGTTTTAGAAAGCTGCCCTGAAAGTACTGGGAAGAAATAAGTCACCAGAGGTAGATGGGGTATCGATGGAATTATTTCAAGCCACAATCTGTCAAAATCCTACCAAGAATATGGCAACAAATATGGAGAACAAACCATGGCCTACAGACTGGAAACAATAGGAAAAGAGATGCCAAGGAGTGCAGTAACTCCAGGACCATTGCTTTAATTTCCCATACATGTAAAGTGATGCTCAAGGTGCTGCAACAAAGGCTTTTGCCTTATATGGAGCAACAAATGCCTGATGTCCATGCTGGATTTTGAAAAGGGAGAGGCACATGAGATCTAATTGTGATTATTTATTGGCTACTGGAGTGCTCCAAAGAATTTCAGAAGAAGGTTAGTCTGTTTTATAGACCACAGTAAAGCCTTTAACTGTGTGGGTCATGAACAGCTGTGGGCTGCTCTGAAAGAAATGGGTGTGCCTCAGCACTGTGCACCTATGTATGTACAGGCTTACACATATGTAACCTGTATGAACAAGAAGCCACTGTCAGGACAGAATATGGAGAGACAGAATGTCAAGTCCTCTAATAAGGCTCTTCATTTAAGTGGAATCAACTTATAGTATGAGATATCTAAGGGTCTACATTTGAGGGAGTTTTGTGTCTCCAGATATCAATGTGTGTCCTCTGCAGAATGTCAGGAGTGAAGTGGAAGCTGCTGAGGTGGTAGTATATCAAGTAGAAAATTTTCTGCATTTTAAATCTGGAAGACCAACAACTTTATCTCTGATACTTATGTTTACTTTAGGGAAGTTTCTAGTGAGGAAAAAGTGAGCAGGAAAATGTATCCCGAGATTGATTTCTCAAAAATGCCCTAAATATAACCCCAATTTACGCTAAAAGTGTCTTTAAAGATACGTATCAGAAAATTCTGAACACTCCTGAATTTCAGAATTCTGAAATTTTATGATCCTGATAAGGTTTCTTTGTTTCTTATTTATTGTAGCCTAAATAAGGCAGGAATTATGAAGAATTAAGATAAAGGTAAGACAGGAGGTTCTGGGAACTTGATAACTTAAACAATGTCTCCTTCTCATTTATTTCATGCTTTATAATTCCTCTCCTGAGGAACATGGATACAGGGCCCATGGGCATCTGGGAGCATATATGGCCTTGAATTCTAACTGGAGTCTAAATGGAATTGGTACAGAGCTTGCTTTCTCATGAATTGAGCAATTATCTGGAGGACAACATTAGAGACCTGGGCTGAGGAGCAGAAAAGGTAGATCCTGAGAAGGGCTTAGCAGCCCTCAGAGATCTGGGGACTTCCTGGGGAAGGTCAACAAATGCCCTCTGTGAGTAGATTCCCTGACTCTCAAGAAGCCAAGAAGTAACCAAATGGATGGACTTATTGTTGGTGGGCTTGAGAGACCACAAGAAGACTTTTCCTTGGCCTAAGCAGGTGACTGGCACCCTGTTTATTTCTTCACAGCTGCTCCATAAAGAGTAGAGACCATTTCAACTTCCATTACTTGTAGAACTGTCATCACTTAAGGTACCTCAACAGTCAGAGCTGAGCCGCAAAGAGCCAATAAAGAAAAGCAACAACCGCTTGAGTCCCAGCAGCCAGAGAAAGATGAGTCAGCTGAGAACATACATGCCCAACAAAATGGACCTGCTGGAGGGGAATGACAACAACTTGAATCCATAAAAATAATAAGTACTTAAGGAAATTCAAGGATATGTCTAAACATAAGACTTTCTAGATCTTACAAAAAGAAGAAAAGTTTTCTTAATGCAACAGATGAATTCAGACCCGAATTAGTATCTTGAAAGTCAAGTACAATAAATATTTAAAGCACAGAGAAAAAAAAAATAAACCATGAGGGAAAAGTTAAGATACTTGAAGATTAGATCTAGAGGATTTAACGTGCAAATGATAGAAGTTCAAAAAGGAACAAATGTGGAAGAGACTATGATTAAATAAATAATATGTTTGTTATAACTATATTTGTTATAACAAATATTTCCCTGAGCCTGCTGATTAAGAATGTTTATGAAGTTCCAGGCTGTATTGATGAGAAAAGACACATACCTAGGTGTATGCTGGTAAGGTTCCTAAAATCTTAAGGATAAAGGTAGATATTGTAAGTTTCCTGGCAGAAAGAGTAAGTTATTTAAAAAGAATAAAAAATTAAATAGCATTTCCTGAAAGAAGAGGACAACAACCTAAGGATCTCGTCCTAAACCAAGATATCATTTATCAGCCAAGTTAAAGGAAGGATTTGTGAGGATATGCAAAAATTTAAAGAATATCATCTTCATACCTTATGTGAAGGACTTATCTTTCCAAAGACCAAAATAATGAAACAGATATCTATCTAGGGGAAGATGATAGTGAGCAATAAAACTTAGAGTTAAAATGATAAGGATGTACTGGGAATATGTATGCTAAAATGTAAGACTTACACTAAGGGAGATTCTGATACTCATTTAGAATGAAAACTGCTAACCATTGTCATTTGTTAGGGGTGAGAAACAGGCATTATCACTTTTAAATAATAATAGAGAAATACGAGTCTGATTTGAGCACAGGGAAAGTGAAGGCGACCATTAACGGGATGGAAAAATATAGTACATCTTCCAAGATAGTAAGAGAATAAAAACAGAGTGAGAAGCAACTTAGCAAATCAGTAAAATTGGTAATCACCATAAATATATTGCGATTTTTAAGCTTACTTCAGAAAGCGTTATGCTATATTATCTAGAGTCTTTGTCAAATTTTTAGGTCTAGGAACCTTTTTACACTTAAAAATTATTTAGAACTACAAGGAGATTTTGTTTATGTGTTTTATGTCAATATTTACTGTATTAAAAATTAAAATTGAGAAATGTTTAAAATATTTCAGTTATTAAAAATATTGATGCTAAACTTATTACATGTTAATATAAATAACATTATTTATGATGAATAACTGTATTTTCCAAAAGTAAAAAAATTGTGAGAATAGTCACATTGTTTTACATTTTTACAAATATCTTTAATGTCATTGGTGTTAGAAAGGAGCTAGATTCTCATGTCTGCTTCTGTTTGATATGTTGTTTTGACTGAAGAATATCAAGAAAATTTGGATTCGCATTGATACATAGTTGGAAAGGGGAGGACTTCCCAGATACCCTGAATGGGTCCTAGGGACCTCAGGAGTCATTGGACCATACTTTGAGACCCACTAAACTGATGTGGAATAGCGTACTTTACGTATAATTAAATATGAAAACAATTTTTAACCAGAAGGTAATATTCTCCCATTTTTTAAGATAACATTGTGTTGGTGGAAAAATAAATCTTTGCTTTCACCATCTCTTCTGAAAATATTAGAACTACAAGTGTGAGGACTGCCTCTATTCAAAATTTGTTAAATAGTAAATTCTTTTTTTAGTGATCTTGAATTTTGAGATTGAATAATTGTATGTATTATGAACAACAAAATCCTAGGCTTTCTAGTTATTTTTTCTTTTTCTCTTACAATTAACTTTTTATGAGTACTGGCTCATCATATCATTAGAATTGTGACAAATGCTGTTACTTTTTAAGAAGTACATATTGGTGAGTTATTTTAGTTATAACTTTGCAATAGCTGAGAGGAAGAGTGGTTTGCAATCTCATTGGGCTTTATTAATTCAGTTTGTACCTTTGCTTTAGGGTTACTCATCAGGAATGGTGATTGTGTGTGTGTGTGTGTGTGTGTGTGTGTGTGTGTACCTATATAATCCTATATCCCTTAGAATAAATGAAATAATATGGAGATGTTAAGTAGTATGGCAGGGTGAAAGCAAATATCTCTTTATAACTTATTTTTTCTTGGAGACTCTTATTTTGTTTGAAATATTGTGCTGCTTAGGACACTGGATTTACTTACATATATTCCAAAATGAAGCATTTATTGTGGGCTTTAGTTAAGACTATTCCTTGTCTTTAATTTTTGTCATCTATAAAAATAAAAGGCTCAGATTAAATTTCCAAGGTCATCTTTTAACTCTAAACTTGTAAAACTCTATGAGTACAGGTGCCATTGGAAACAGATTGAAGTGTTTTGTTAGGAAGTTTAATTCCATGTATACTTATTTACTGCCAGCAGAGGTCAGGTAATACGCTATACCCTGGAACATCAGTGACTGTAAGTAGAGCTAGGTGTGAAATACTTTTTATAGTTGGCGTAGCATTTTATTAGAAATATCCTGTATTTTCTACAGAGTCAACTATGGGATTTTCTGTCTGGCAGACAGCATGCAGTAGATGATGAAACCGATCTTCATGCACCGACATCACCAATGAGTAAACACAACCAGGATAATGAAAAGGTACTGATAAATTGTGAGTAAATTAAAGCAGGCTATGATCCCCTTCAAATCACTACAAATTTGATCATACCTTACAGTTACTATTTTTATAATTTTTAAAAGTTTTTAATTTGTTTAAATAAAACTATATCTGCAAAGAGTAATACATTGGAGACTAATGAAAGCATGATGATAATCAGTTTCCTCATGGTTTTGGGCCAAGGTAACAGGCACTGTGCAAAAATACGTATCACTCTAAGGATCAGAAAAGTAGTTGAAGATCCAGGTTGACAGATTCTTTGAATCTTTGTATTTGGTAAACTTCACACTTACCGTTTTAAATGGTTGATTCTTGGGAGGTTATGTACAGTTGAAAAATCTATTCTGTACCCTTTGCAGTCAAATAACTGATGCATCATGAGTTTGATAACAGGATTTGTTGTGCAAACTACAGAAAAGTAGTGCCAAGTATACGTTTGGTCTAATATAATTTATCTTCAGCTGAACACAATGCTAGGTACCTAATTAAATAGAATAACCACTCACTACCCATGGGAGTTATGTTTATGGAAGTTTCTATGGTTAATAAAATCATTGATAAGACGAAAGTTTAATAAGAGTATTGGAAAAAGCAGTAAAATTACATTCAATGTATCTAAAAATATGGTATGTAAAAGGTCTAGAATATGCCAACTTCCAAATCCGACTGCTCCAGTAAGTTAACATATCTAATGAATGACCTTCCTCGTTTTTCAGAAAACATTGCTAAGGCAGATTCTCCCAAGTCCCATGCTATACAGATAGCACTTATAAAAATATGTTTTATCATTACCCTCAAATAAATACCTGTATACCTACTTCCTAGAGTTAATGTGCTTTATATCTGCATCTAATATTTTTTCTGTCCTATTTGAAAGTTAAATTGCTGACATCATGGCACTTAATCCCTAAAATTCTTCGACATACCATTTCCTGAAAATAAGGACATAATCCCAATATCATTGTCATATATAAGAAAACTTGAGTATTCCCTAATATCATTTACTATCGTCCCTATTCACATTTCTCCATTTGTCCCCAAAATGGGTTTTATGTCTCTTTGGATGCTTTTAATCTAGAAGAAGACCCGTCAGTCTTCTTTTTTTCCTTCTTACTTATCCAATTAATTCCTACTGGTGTTATTTAACTTGTTCCTCTATTTCCAATAAACTGGAAGTTACATTTGAAAGCTTGATTAGATGAGGTTTAGCATTTTGTAACAAATACTAAGTAACTGATGCTGAGTATTTGATTGTATATCACATCAGGAGACATAAACTCAAGTTGTCCCGAATTGCCAGGCCTCTTCAGTATAAAGTTGTAGTTTTCCCTTTGCTGTCAGCAAAGATCTGTGGGGTGATACTTTGACACTGTGTAAATATCCTGTTTCCCAACAACCTTGTACTGAATGGTTTTAGGATTTAGGATCAAGGTTGAGGATCCTTGTCTGAATTGATTATTTCTTTAGAGTTTGCAGAATGGTGAGTTTCATATTATGTCTTTACATTAGTTAGCTGCCATTTCTTGGTAAAGAAGAGCATTATCTTGTCAGTTAAGATGAAATACAGTTCCCTAAAAATGGCAGGGTCACTACTTAATTCTTTCTTTCTTTCTCTTTAATTACCAGTTTAGGAGTTGGTGTTATAGTTATTTATAATATAGGAGGCAAAGTAGATATTTTTTTCTATTTACCTTTTTCCTTTTCATGTGTGTATATATTGCTATGGACTCATGGATTTTTTTTAATCAGAGTATTAAAATCAATTACAGTTATTAATCTTTGATGCTAAAATAGAGGGATCCCCTTCAGGCTGGTTTCTGTGTCTTTTTTACATGCCCTATTAGACTTTTGAGCACTTCCTTGTTGTCTGGTATGAGAAAATATTCCAAGCCCACCTTTGAATGTTTTCTGCCAAGACATGGTTCCTTTTATTGTGATTTGTAACTATTTTCTCTTGCTTGAAATTACTTCTTCACTTACATTCTCCTTCTTTTTCCCTCCTGCCCCAAATCTTGACAAAACACTTACCAAATTGCCTGGTCCTTTCTCAATGGTACCTAAGGAGTACATTCGTACATCAAGAGGATAGATCACTTACAGATCTCTTCTCTTTGATCTGTCTTACAGGCTTTACAAGGAGGAAACAATAATCATTATTGTGCCTTTTAATTAAGAGGAATGAACTAATTTGTACATGTAAAATGACCTGAGCTTTTAGAATTTTGGCTTATAGATATAAAACATTATTTTAAAGGGATGTCCATGAAAAAGGATTATAGTATATAGAAACTGATATGTCTTCCTTGTAAACATATGGTTTTCTCATTTAAAAAACAATGATAATTTCATTGTGTTAATCCTCTACTTTTTATCATTTGCCTTCCTGGGTTGTATTTTCGAAGAGAATTTTATCTACTAGTTAGCTGATGGATTAGATTTTATGAGGACTGGTAAAGTAGCAGCCATCCTGTCAGCCATTTTTCTGTTACTTGCAGATTTCTAATTTTTCTTTTTACAAAGTATTTTTGGAAGACAATATATTTCTATTAAAATTCCAAAGTGACTTTTTGGGCTTGCAAAGATATATTTTGATCACGAAATGTGCTTACTAATGCCACACCAGAGTCCTCAAGTAGATGAATGGAATGAATTTGAGAAACAATATTTTTGTTTCCTTATTTTATTTTACTTCATTTTATTTTTTCTAAGGTTCTAAACTATTCCTTTAGAAATTCTGAAGTAATAAAGGGAAAAATAGAATAAAGGCCCAAAAAGAGAAATCATCAGTTAAATAAAAAATTCTACCAGTATATTAGTTCTAGTTCAACTTTTTTTTGGTCATTAAATATAAGAATTTATGTGTTGGCAAAGAAAGTAGAAAATACCTGTATAAATTGTTAATCTTTTCAATTTAGAAAAACTAATTTTCTTAGACGTGAGATTGACTATTTGCATTTCAGTAATAATCAAGGGATAGGAAAAGAAACTTGGAATTGTCAGAAAGCTTAAATAAAATTGTTCAACTTCTAAACAAACATTGCAAATACTTTGTGGTATGGATAGATTCAGTTTATTAAACAAATAACCAGAACAGTATCTTTATTTTTGGTATCTTGGTAAAAGTTTCAATCTTGTGGAGTTTTTCAATTTAGGCCCTTGCTTCTGGACATCATAACTGTATTTATGTGGAATGCTTTTCCAGAGAGCCTCTTTAAAACCCACTTGCAAATACAAGAGCAGGGAAACCATAACTGCCATGTTATCTGACCATAATGATAGGGATAGATTTCCAATTGCAGCCATGAGTTAAAAGAAACACTCTAACTGTGAAGACTCCAAGATGTTTTTCCCTGATATTTGCCTAGCATCACAGATCAGGAGGACAAAATTTGCTAGCCGTAAAGAGCAAGTTGTAGATGTGAGAGTTCAAGCCCTGGTTTTGTACCCAGTAAGGATCAGATATATATGTATTGGTAAATCCTCATTATTTTTGGACAGCAGAAGCACAGTGAAACAGAGATTGCATGAAATTAAATGTAGAAGAGTAAAAAAAGTTTCTGATTACAATGTAAATGTCACTTTTTCTCTGTTTTGATTTTTGGCAAATTGTGTTACTCTTTCCAGATGCCAGAGATAAAGAAGAGATTCATATATTTTAGGTAGACTATTGCACTATGAAGTTAAAATGGAAACTTTTGTATTATAGTCTCCCATGAAGTATTGTGATTGACTGTGAAAGTGAAGATAAAAGGACGTTTGAAATTAAGCAGAAAACTGTTATATCTTATTTTATAAAATTTTAGGACAGATCTTAAAGATGATTTTAATTTAGTTGTACCTTAGAGTACTTTTCTTTTTAAGGCAATGCAATAAAAATATATGAGCACTTATTTGATCTCAGGTAAATTTTTATCAATAGTTTCAATTTTGAAATATTTAAAAGGGCCAAGTACGTATATTAATTTTTCTTTCATTCATCATTGAACAAAAACTGATTGAGAACCTATTAACAAAAATGGATTGATTATCCACTATAATGCCAATCATTCTTTTAGGCCCTAAGGATATATCATTTGCTCTCCTGGAACTCATAAAGTAGTAGAAATATTAAGAAAATAAACAAAGGACCAGAAAGTACGAAGGTCTATCCAGGGAGCTGTATTTGGCTGTTATGCAGAGTTATAACGGTGGTAAGAAAGGGAGAATGTGAACTGCTACTTTATATTGGGCAATCAGGGAGCCTCTCTGCAAATGTAAAGTTTAGCTAGTATCTTTAATATTTAAGAAAAAAAGGTTTCATGAGGTAAATATTTAAACTTTTTCTTTTAATCAATTTTGCTTAAATATTTTGAGTCCATATTTAAGACAACCTTTCCTGTCCAATGAGGTTTTTTTAAACTGATTCTGCCTCTCATTTTTCAAGAATTGTTTTTCACATGAAGTTTAAATAATCCATAAGCATGTTATCTTTAAAAATGCTTTTAAGATGTATATGAACTTAAGACTTCCTTGATAATTGTCTAAGAGACTTCCTAATGATTTGTAATTTCTTATTGCTGCCCTTTTAAATCTCTTATGCTTCTTAATTTAAAATATGATTAGAACAGAATATGAAGAAATTTTAATTTTAATAAGGAAAATATTTTCCTAGAGTTTACAGATGATAAATTACTGAGTCTTTAGCTAAGTTATCAGTCACTGAAAGACTTATGAATTTCATATGTTTTGAGAGTGAATTGAGTTTAAATCTGTGAGTCCAGTTTTCCAAGGGAATAGTTAGAGAGGATTTGAAGTGAACAGTCTGGGAGCAATGTCTAAGAATTAGAAACAAACAGGATTCTGGAGCAGAAGGTAGGGTGGAAGTAGTTGAGAAGGTGAGAACAAGAAGAGAATTCTATACAAGGAATTTAATTTTGATGAAATTGAGTGTATCAATTTTTTGATAAATTGATATTTTACTATTTTCCTATTATGAATTGTGTTTTTGGTGTCATGTCTAATAACTCAGCCTAATTCCAAGTCATGAAGATTTTCTCCTATGTTTTCTTCAAAAGTTTTGCTGTTTTATATTGTATATTTAGATCTATTATCCACTTTGAGTTTTATAAGGTTATCCATACCTTATAAAAGGTATGAAGTTTAGGTGAGGTTCATTTGTTTTGCATATGGGTGACCAATTGCTTCCACACCAATTATTGAAAAGACTGTCCTTTCTCCATTGTTTCTTCTGCACCTATGTCAAAAAATCAAATGGCCATATCTGTGTTGAGTCTATTTCTGGACTCTCTATTCTGTTTCATTATCTGAGTGTCTGTCCCTTTGTAAATACTATACTATCTTGATTATTGTAATTGTACAGTAGTTTTTAAGATAATTTTTCAGCATATTTAATATGTTGTTCCAGTGTCTTCTGGCTTACATGCTTCCTTTTTGATGACCTGTTAACCTTATCATTGTTCCCCTGTATGTAATGTGTCATTTTTCTTTGGTTACTCTCAAGATTTTTTTCTCGTCTTTGGCTGTCAGAATTTGATTATAATGTGTATAGAAGTGATTTTATTTGTGTTTATCCTGCTTGAGTAGCATCTTAGATCTATAAATTGATGTTTTCCACCAAATTTGGGATGCTTTTGGCCATAATTTTATCAAATATTTTTTCTGCTTCTTTCATTTCTCTGCAGGGATTCCAATTATGTGTATGTTGGACTTCTTTAAATTGTCCCACAGATGTCTTGCATTCTTTCTTCTTTTTTTCTTCTTCTTTTGTTTTTCATATTTGGTAATTTCTATTGCTATATCTGTAAGTTCACTGATACTTTCTTCCACTTTCTCCATGTTGCTCTTGAGCAAATTTTGTTTCAATTATTTTACTTTTCATCTTTAGAATTTACTTTCATTTTAGTGTCCACTTCATTTCCTCTGTTAATTCATTGATAACATATTTTCTTTTAATTCCTTGAACACATTTTATTTTAGTTCTTTGAATATATTTGTAGCGGCTGCCTTGATGTTTTGTCTGCTAAATCCAACTTCTGGGTCCACTTGGTGACAATTTCTGTAGACTAATTTTTATCTAGAGAAGGGGTCACATTTTCTTTTTTCTTTATCTAGGAATTTTAGGATGAAAACAGGACATTACAGATAATATTTTATAGTGACTCCAGTTTTTGTCATGTTCTTCTGAGGAAGATTGGGTTTTTGTTCTAGTAAGCAGTTTACTTACCTGGATTCCAGCTACACGTTTTGTCTCCTTGGTGGTATGTGGCTTTTTGGATATCTGTTCTTGTGGCTTCCCTTTGCTGTTTTTATAGCTTGGCTTTTGTAGATCTTCCCTCTGCCTGTCGAATTTGGCAGTCAGCCAAGGATTTGGGGCGCTATAGAGCTTATTCTCTCTGTATAGTTCTTTTTCCTAGGGATTGTCCTGAGTTTTCCAGTTGTGCTGACAGGTTTGGGCTCTGTACATTTAAGACTTCAAGCCTGTCCAGCTTCAGCTTTCTGCCACTTAAGCTATACACAATTGTGGAAGGCACTCAGTTTAGCAAACCTTCAGACCCATAGCTCTGGTTCCTCATAGCTCAATCTTTCTAGAATATATTTCTCTCTGATTTCTCCCTGAGTTTTTGATGGACCCTTTGGTGTCTCCTCCTTGCTTGCATTGTTTCACTGCTAGCTAGGAATTTTGGCTGTTTATGTTCTCAATTGTTTCCAGTATTTCGCCCTTTAAATTTCTAGCTGCAGTCCCAGCCATGAATTCTAATTTCTGGCCCTTTTAGTCACTTCCTTTTTCTGTAGCCGTAGTCATGAAACTTGGGCCAGTAACCGTAAACTTAATTCATACTCTTCTTATTGCAGTTCTCTTGAAATTAAACGTTCTTCCACTTCTGTCTACCTTCTGCGCACTTTCCAGTGTCTTAAATAGCATTTTTAATTCTTTATTTAATATTTCATGTTTGTTATCTGAGGGGTTCACATGATCACTCACTTCTCCCCCATTACTGGAAGTTATTGGGTCCTGAATAACCACAGACTTGCAATTCTTACCCTTCTTCTTGCAGTTCTTTTAAGATTAAATTCTCCAACTTGTGTCTGCTTTTTGGATGCTTTCCAGTGTCTTTACATAGTTATGTTTTTAAAGTTTTACCTAATATTTTATACTTGTTATCTGTGAGAGTTCCTGCAATCACTTCTCCAGTACTAGAAGTCGAAGGCTTTGAATAGCTATAAATAGCTAATTTAAAAAAAAAGATCATTGAATGCCGTGGTTTATCATTTGAGTGTGAAGGACAGGTACAGTATAAATGAAAACTGATGCACATATCAATTTCTCCCAAATATTATTTATCTTATATTTGAGCAGTCTATAGCTCTGTTTTAGGCCAGTTAATGTCAAAATCAACTACTTGCTATTATTTGCTTAACATTTGGTTGAATCTCTTCATTTTAATACTTAGTTGGTTATTTGGTATTGTCAAAGTTGGTATCTAATAATTCTCCCCAAATTTAACAACTTCAGCCCTTATATTTAGCCCTGTAAGGGATGTATGTATAGGAACAAATAGTACCAGCTAGACCATGCCCTCAGCTTCAGGGGACTTCATTATTGGTTATTATTTAGTGGCAAATGTATACAGGGGAATGAGATCAGGCCTCATCAGAAAGGCAGACTTTGGACTGTATTTTTATATCATTTTCTAAGAGACATTTTCCAACAATTATGATGGTTGTTATTTACTCATAGATTTTCATTGGTGGCAAGCTGGTTTCATGAGTAGAGATGTGTTAATTGTCCAACCCAGACTTTTGATTGATATGGCAATTTTCTTTTCCCAAAGAGCTGAGTGAAGTATTGTCATTGAATGATCATATGTATTTTTACTGCATATAAAAAAGATTATTTATGGATTTAGAACAACTTCAATAAGGAAAATAATGTTTTCTTGTACAGGAGAAGTTACTAGCAAAGAAAATTATCTACTCATATTTAAACCTGCTAGTGAATTCAAAGAATGACCTGGCTCTGGCTCATATTCTCAATATTCCTGATAGAGGACTTGGAAGAGAAGCCTTCACCGATTTGAAACATGCTGCTCGAGAGAAACAGATGTCTATCTTTTTGGTATGGACATGTTACATTTTCAAGATTTCTTAAAGACTCTTTGAAGAGTGTATCCATGTACCTTGATATAGAATTCTTGTAACTATGATAAAACAACTTTTAAATTGTTAATATATGTTTTACATATGTATTTGAAAATCCATGGTATTTTTATTTTTTGTATATCCTTCAAATTTGACAAGGGATAATTTCTCTAAAGCAGTGTTTCCCTACATATATTCTGTTGAGTGCTAGCCCTGTTAAATTCTCCTTGAATAGATATTTCCAAAGGCAAAAAGTCCCTATTAAATGCTCCTTGTGTAAGTGTTTCCAAGGGCAAAAAGTTTGAAAATATTATATTCCCTCATTGGATATACGTAATGCATGTTTGTATATCAAAAACTTCGAGGAGTCCTGCCGTAAAGAAATCTGCTTAAGTTAACCTTGTTATTTAATCTGTTGTTTCCTAAGTTATTTAACCATGGAACTATCCCTCAAATTGTTGAAATTTCATAGAATTTGTGTTTCTTAGGATACACTTTGGAAAAATACAACTTTAGAACATTTCATCTTTGATGGAGGTGCTCTTACGTATAGCCACGTATTTTTATAATTGTAAAGGCAAGGCCTTTTGATCTACACATGATCAGATAATCCTAAGATGTGAAAGCTAGATGAGATTTAGTGACTATCTAGTTTAATCTGTATTTTACAAATAAAGAAGCTAAGGCTTAGAAGAGTTGAGTTAATTGCCCAACCTTGAATAAATCAACACAGTTGACACTGAAAAACCCCTTTGTCTCGTATAACAATTCCAGGAGCCAGTAGTCAATCTATATAAGGATATATTTATAAACTGATTCTTTGTAGTCAATAATATACTCTTATGCCCTTACTTCGTCCCCTCACTTGGCTCTCTGCTCTCCATCCACCTGCATTGCCATCACCCTTGCTGGCATGAATTCTGCCTAGCACCTGTTTCTTTGATTATTTGCTTCTGAATCAAAGTGTGGCATGAGTCATAAAAAATGCTTCACTTTACCTGTATACCCAGAAATATAGAAATGTACCTAGCTTCATAAAGTAAATTGTAGTTTTAGCTTACTAAGTCATTAAACATAACTAAATCATTTGTTTTAATTCGTAGGTGGCCACATCATTTATTAGAACAATAGAACTTGGAGGGAAAGGATATGCACCATCACCATCTGATCCTTTAAGGACACATGTAAAAGGATTGTCTAACTTTATTAATTTCATTGACAAATTAGATGAGATTCTTGGAGAAATACCAAATCCAAGGTAATGACTTTTCATAAATTAGAAATCTGTAATTTAATCTGTCTTTAAAACTTCATAGAATCAGCGGTAGATTTGACTATAAGAGCTCTTGAAATGACCAAGCATAAGACCAAACAGTAGGGAGAAGAAAAAAAATATCTAGGTGAATAAATTATAATTTCCCTTTGATTTTCTGTCTTTTTATGATTCCAAAATTTTCGCCAAAGTCAAATGACATGTTCAAATTAAATTTGACTAGAGAAGAGGGTTTACCATTTATCTTTTTTGGGGAAGAAATCGATTTTTGAGGACTTAAAATGATTGAATAGATAATTTCTTTAAACTTTTTATTTAGCAATAAAGGAAACCTATACCAAGAATGAGTGAGGAAATTGACAGACATATGATGAATTCTATATGGTATTTTCTGCTAGTTTTTTTTTTTTACATTTCTTATGCGTAAATCTTTGATTCATCTGTAATTTGTCTTTATATGATATTGGAAGTAAGATATTTTTCTTTTGACTGATGAGACTCCCATTTATTATATGGTTATATTGGATGGTGAGTAATTTTTAGATGAATTTGGGGGGGCAGAAGTAGTTTGTATATGCTAGCAGTCATGGTAGATCACTGTCAGTTTGGTTGGTATGCCATAGCATAGTACTATTAAAATAGCTGGTATTTATTGAACACTTATTATGTATCAGACATTGTACTCAGCTTTTTATGGGGATTATCATTTGATCATTACAACAACCTTACATTATAGGTGCTATATAAATACCTAATTTAGAGAGGAAGAAACTGAAGCACTGGGACTAAATAACTTAGTCACGTTGTTACTAAGTAGCAGAGCTGGGATCTGAACTCAGTTGGTTCTGACCCTGGAACTTATTCTTTTAATCACTGTATCTTATTCTATGAAACTTCTTTCCATTTTAAGATTCCAAGAAGAATTTCTTTAAGGATTTTATTCTGAATTGCATCCTTCTGTCTTCTTGTATGGATATCCATTACAAGGAAGTAAATTTGGAGGAAAGTTTTGAAAATGGCTTATAGTCAATATTAGTGACATCTTCTTAGCTTTCAGATAATATATTCCCTGGCCATTTCTTCTGATAGCAGAGATAGCAGATAATTAATTTTTAACAATATCTTATTTTTAGCAAAGCAATATAGGTAGATTTTGTTAAAGTCAAATGGTACTACAGATATATAGTAAAAAAGTCCTCATAGGAATTGACTTTAAATATTTTTTTGTGTTTGTGTTTAGATTTTCCTCATTTAAATGAAATTTTTATGCTGCTATTTTTGATTTTTCAATTTTAGACATTACCTATTAACTTTCTACCATCGAAGATGAGGATTTGCAAACCACTCACCAACCTTCCAACACGCCTTTTTCTCTCTCTGCTCTCCAACCACACACACAGACACATACACACAGTTCTTTTCTTTCATCTGTCTCATATAGTTATACCAAAATTTCAGATTAGATTGTATTTTAGAGTTTACATTATCACTCTGTAAATATTGCCGATAGCTAAGCTATATGATATACTGATTTCCTTTCTTGTACAAATTTTTGTTTTTTTCTCGAGTGAATAATTATTTACTGTTTTCTTTTACTTTATTTCCTATATATTTATCATCAATTCTTCATCAAGCTTGCCAATGAAACTATACAATTTCTTCTTCTTATTAGGTCATCTATCAGTTTGGGTTTTGCCCTTGAAGACATTCCTTCTGGAGAGTCCTCTATCTTCATTCAATCTGTACTTTTGCTTGCTAGGTCTGTTTCAGAGTGGCCGCCCTAAAGCTTCATCATCACCTGGTGAATTTTCTTTGCCTCTGCCTTGTTTCCTGGATCTCATGACTTTTTTTTTTTTTTTTTTTGCTGAGGAAGAGTAGCCCTAAGCTAACGTCTGTTGCTTGTCCTCCTCATTTTTTGCTTAAGGAAGATTAGCCCTGAGCTAACATCTGTACCAGTCTTCCTCTACTTTATATGTGGGTCACTGCCACAGCATGGCTGACAAGTGGTATAGGTCCATGCCTGGGGATCCGAACCTGTGAACCCGGGCTGCCGAAGCAGAATGCGCCAACTACACCACTACACCACGGGGCTGGCCCATCTCATAACTATTTTGAATTGGTTAATCCCTTATTTTGCTCAAATAGCTTTCTGAGAAAAAGTAAATGGGAGGCAAATATCTTTATTCTATTCTCACATTTGATCGTGTGGTCTTATGTCATGTTTCGTTTATCTCTCTAAGATTATTATATTTAATTTTTAAGATTATTTTTATCTGCTTCCTGGATGGTCGTTGTTTTATTTAAGTTGAATGTTCTTCTTTTTGCTTGTTTTGCCCACTTTCATGTTAGAGGTGTTCCTAAAATGTTTGGTGATTCTCTTCTGTCCTTTCCTATTTAAGAATGAGGCCCTATGAAGCTGATTAGCAGCTCTAATACAGTGGACTTCATTATAGTGTGGTGGCCAGTTGGCTCTTTTTTTGGGGCTTCTCTAAATGTCACTAACTATAGGTCTTTTCTTTGGGACTTACCCAGAAATTTCTACAGAGGCATCCTTTAGTCTGTTTCTGAAAGCTGTAAGTCTGGCTAGCAATATTTTGGGGTTTGAAGTAGGGGAGGTTGAAGCTGAGTCTCCCAGTTCAATATGTAGACTTTTACTCAATCCCTCTGTTTTCAGTCCCTGGGGCTTCTAGGTCTGGAGCCTTTCTGGCTTGGTTTCTTCAGAGTGTTCCTGCTGTCCATGCTGAAGTGAGAGAAGTGCACTAGCCCGACTGCTCAGAATAGGAGAGGAGATTTAGGGATCTGAGTGTTCCTTGAGTAGACTCTCACCTAGCTTTCTTGTTTACTCCCACACTTTATCATAGCCTTCAATATTGCCTTCAATTTCCCAGAATTTCTGAGGTTGCTTCTTATTGTCTGTTTTAGCAGTTACTTAGGTTTTAGCTTTCTCTGTTCTGGATAGTTGGTTACCACTTGTCCATCTGCTTTTCATGTTTCCATACTTTCATGATACGTCTCCACTATCATTAGCTATTATTTCCTCTTCCATTCTTTTTTTTCTTTATGGATTTAAAACACTTGGCTTTTTGTCATTTTAGTGGGGTTTACGAGGGAGCACGTATAAATGCATATACTCAATCCAATGTAATTTGTTATAATTACGTTCCCTTTGGAGGAGTGTTCTTTTGAATATCCTATCTGGTCATAATGAGCAATTATTCTATGTTCTAGGGAAGACATTGAAGAAGTGGGTGTCTAAATAGTGGGTGTATTCAAGTGGGTGTCTAAATAGTCCACCTGAGCAATCTTCATTTCTTTATGGTGATTTTTGCATATATTAAGTATATATTCATTTCGTAATTTTAAAAAGTTAAGTTATTAAAAACTAAAAACATATATCCTACTTATGCAATAACAGAAGAATGTACAGAGGAAAGGACGAGTGACCTAGTTTGTGGGAGCCACGGATAAGTGTGTCAGGAATGCTTACCTGGATGGTCGTTACAGTTGAACTTAATCATGAAGGATGAAGTTGAAGGAGTTAGACAGACATGGAGAATGGGAGTGAAATGAGGCCCAGATGGGGAGAAGAGAGGAAGATATTTCCTACATTGGGTGTAATATGGGTGACCTATTGGGACATTGTTTCATTGGTTATTTGTTTTGTCTTATAATTTTCAACTTCTAGTACTTGAGCCACAGTCTATAAAGATTATAAGAAAAAACAATAAACCATATTCTCTGTTTTTGCGAGTTCCTTCTCCTTCTTTTTACAGCTCAAATTCGTGGAAAAATACTGTTTTTTATTCCACTCCTCAATTTATAATTACTTAATATATATTTCTCACTAGTCTGTAAACTCTGCAAGGGCTTTATTGGTTTTCTTCACTAATATTCCCTAGCCCTAGCACAGTTTCTGGCATAGGGTAGAATATTTCTTTACTCGTCTGTGCTTCACTGACTCACACTCATTCACTTTTCCACTCTGCTGAAGGTGTTCTGCCAAAGATCACTTATGATCTTGTAGTTGGCGTACTCTTTGGTCTCTTTTGAGTCCTCAAATTTGATCATTTTCTCTCTTAGAACTCTACCCCATAACTCCTGAGATTTCATTCTCTTATTTTCCACCTACCTTTCTGACTGCATATATGCAAATTCTAAATCTATATTTCAGTGAAATTCAGACCTCTTTCCTGAGTTTCAAAAATATATCATTAAGAACCTATAGGTTGTCACCTCAAAGGCAACTCAGACTTAACATGTCCCAACTAAATCTTCATCTTTTCCTGCAAACCTGCTTCTCCTCCTAAAGTGCCCAGCTTGATAAAGCCTCTTTCCCTCCAGCCACCCAAGCAGAAATCTGGAACATATCTTAAACTCCTTTAGATCCATCAGTTCTTCTTACTTAACATTTCTGATACTCTTTCTCCTCATCTCTATTCCTAGAGCTACTATCTTATTTCCATTCTTTATGGAAAGTCTGTTCTCAGACTTTCCTCCTTTCTTGTCTGGACTTTCTCGCTTATCTCCAAGTTGTCCGTTCTCCCTCCAGTCTTGAGTTGCCCCCTCTTGTTGTCCTCACTGCTGCCAGTGGTCTTTCTAAAACAGCAGATGTTACTCCCGTGATTAAAACCCTTCAGTGATTCCATACTAGGTGCAGGGTAAAACTCCAGAAACCTCAGTATGATGTACAAATTCTAAACACTCTAACTCCTGCCTGTATCTCACTCTGGTCTCTGTCTCTCAACCTTAAAACTTAGAGATAAAAATGTATTTAACTCTTGTAACTCAGTATAAGTTTGTACTGCTTTTCTTTTAATATGGTAGTGGTGGTAGGGGAATCACAATAATCCTTGAGTCCAAGGAAGGACGGGGAATAGACAGGGAAGAAATCAAAGAAGAATCGATTTGCACACTTCACCTCCCCACTCCCAGCTTTTCATCAGGCCATCTTAGCTATAGTTTGGCTGCATTTCTACACTTTGCCAGTAGATGCCACCATAAAATACATACTATACTTTCACCTGAAAAATGTCTTAAATTAGAGGTTTCAGCTTACATAATTTAGTTAGTTTCCTGTTGTTCAAATTTTTAAAATTCTGTGTTTCAATTGTATAACACAACTTTTTAATGCACACCTTTATATTTATTGGACTAAATATTATGCATTTATAGAATGTTAAATCTGGTTAAAATTACTCAGTACAAAATCCTACTGTTACATTTTTCTCATTTAAAAATATTTCAGGAGCATTTTTGATACATTTTATATGTACTTTTAGTCACATTTAATTTTTAAAGATATAATTTATTTCAGCAAATAGTTATTAAATTCTTGAAGATGATAGGGAAAAACCAATCACTCTATATAATAAAGTCAAGTTAGTCAGCAATTACATTAAAGTATTACCAATCAGTTGTCTGTATTAGTGCTTATTATTCTCTTTCAGTCACTATGTTTTGATAGAAGCATGGGGATTTAATTGCGTTTTTCCTCACTAACTTCATTTTTCTCTTTCTGCCCCAGGGCTCTAATGCGATGTATTTAGTAGTCAGGAGCTGCAGTTTACCTCTTTCTTGCCTTACTACACTGAATTGGACATCCAATACTATGCTGAAAAGAAATGATGAGAGCAAGAACTCTTGTCTCATTCTAAATCTTAAATAGATGCTAAAACATTTTACCATTAATTGGGTTTTCCCAATTAATGGGGTTTACCTCTTTCTCACCTAAATTCTTCTATTAATGTTTATCCAGAGTAATCATAATGTATCTTGTGGGATACCTTCCTGAATACCTCCTTCTTCCCTACCCTCCCCACTCGAACTCCCTCTGTACCTTCCGTATCTCACAGTATCATATGATCAATTGTGACCTCTTAAAGAGAAATATTTAATTCATTTTGTATCCCCTGTGCCTAGCACAAATGTCCTGGTGTCATTTGAGTCAAAACTTCATGAGTTTCCAGCTCTAGAAGTGAGAGTTTGAATTACGCCACCATGTTGCTGAGCAGGTATTTGAAGAGCTGATGGTTGGCTCTAGCAGTGAATGCATAGCAGTAAGTCAACTAGTCATAGCACTGGTGTTTGGCGTATTTTGCCAAGGGTCAAAATGTTGAGCTTGGCAAGTATCTGAGATACAAATCTTATAAATTTCTTCCTAAATACAATTCAGTCAGGAAATTATATCATCTTTAAAATTTAGCATATTTGTTCCTGTAGAAGGAATGAGAAAAGGGGGCAAAGGTAGCTTTTACCTAATATCATTGAAAACATTTTTTTTGGTTCTTGTAATTGACACTACAACACTCTTTCATATTTTATTATCCTTTTGAATCTTTTCCAAAACTCTTCCATTAGAGATTTCTTCCCAGAAAAAGCACATAGTGTTAATTGTGTTTTCATTTTGGCTACATTTCATCCAATCACTTTCTGTGCTTTTGATTGAAAATTGAGAAGAAACTGGTTGAAAAAGAAGGTGCCTGTGTACCTAAAATAATTCTTAGAGTCTCCTCAGACTTCTGATTACAGATGTATGGAAGACCAGGTCCTTCCATAGAAAATAATTAATGATGCTGGATAACATATTTTTTAAATGCTTCTTAAATTGATGAGCGGGCAAATGTAATGAAAATACAGGCCATAAACTTGGGGAAGGAAGAAAGCCAGAGAGGGAAGTCAAGAAGGGAAGCTAGCTTTTATTTTGAGAGTGTTTGCTGAATGTGGTGATTTGGAGAGTCTGTTCTTACCGCCACTAAAGTCTGAAGTGGGAGGGGGCTGACCAAGGTGAGGAGTCTCTTGGGTTGTACCCACCCTACAGGGCTCCCCCTCAGTGTAAAATGAACTAAGAATAAGGGCTTTAACCTGATAAAGGGTTTCTATGAAAACCCAATTAATGGTAAAATGTTTTAGCATCTATTTAAGATTTAGAATGAGACAAGAGTTCTTGCTCTCATCATTTCTTTTCAGCATAGTATTGGATGTCCAATTCAGTGTAGTAAGGCAAGAAAAACAAATAGGAGCTATAACAATTGAAAAGGAAGATATAAAACTATTTGATGATGATATGATTGTATATATAGAAAACTCCTAGAATCTAAAGGCAAATTATTAAAATTAATAGTAAAGTTTAACAGTGTTGCTGGACACAAAATCAGTAAACAAAAAGCAGTTGTACTTCTATGCCATCACCAAATCAAAAATGTTAAAAAAAAAGCTTCAAAAATATAATATACATAGACTCAATCTAATAAAAGCTTACTAGCTCCTTCGCTCTTGGAAGGTTCAGATTCAGTGTGAAAGTCTCTGGTTGCCCTCTCTCACTCAGCTTTGTGTCCTGATCACAGTGCTCCTGGAGGTTTTTCTCCTCGGGAAAACCCCATTCATCATGCTTGCTTACCACTCACAGCCTCCAACTTTCCATCCTAGCTCTTGTTTGTTGCTTTTTTGGGGAGAGATTGGGTGGTACTGGGAGATTTGCCCCTATTCCTGCCGAGCTCAGTGAGATGTTCCCTCAGAGTATCTAGTCTGCTATAGTGTAGGTGGAAACCCCCTCAGTGCTTTTGTATTACAAATAATGATAATAATATGAATAATAGTAAAATATATATTAAAAACTTCAGATTGTTGCCTGTGATAGTGGTCATTTATTCAACAAACACATCAATCATTTCTTCTGTGTGCCAAATGTAAACTGGTAGTGTGAAGATTAATAAAATACGGTTCCTTTCTCAAGGAACTAATTTTTTCATAAAATGCTTCCCTAACTTGTCTAGTCATAAGAATCACCTGTGGTACTTTTAAGACAATGCAACTATTCCGTGCCCTTCTCTGCAGATTGTGATTCAGTAGGGTGGGATCTGGAGTTGATGTTTTAAACAAATGCTGAATGTGATTCTGATGATCAGACAAATTTGGGAGATGCTGGTCTAATGCGCTGTCATACATTAAGTCTCTCTGCAATTTTCTTCTAACTTTCCTTCTCTGTTTGGACCAGCTATTTAAATGTGAACAATCATATTTCCAGTGTTTGTTTGGGAACCTGGCTTCTTTCCTCAAACATAAACCCTGACAATAGGTTGTGAGGATGAAAACTTCAATTCATAATTTCCTTTATGCCTCTATAAAAGTCACAGAGAGGTTAAATAGCACACCCAAGGTAGAAAGTGGCGGGGCGGGGGAGGCTACGATTTGTGCTCAGGCAGTCTGACTCCATAGTCAGACGCCCCAGCCTCTCATTTGGGACCGTGCAGCCTTTCCAGGGATACCTCAAGGGATGCAGAGCTCCTGACTTCAAATAAGAGACCTCTTCTATTGTTGGACACTTGATTTCTTCCTTGTAATGCACCAAAATCCTTCCTTCTATATATTTCTCACATTTTTTTAGGTCAACCTTCTAGAGCAGGAACTGCAACCCAAATTCATTCAGGTTCAGACTTAGTATAAAGAAACAATTGATTTCAGGTTTTTTAAAACCCTTGTCTGTTGGCCATAGTTGGTCGAGTCTCTGGTTTACTTTATATCAGTATTAACTGGTTTCATTTCCTCTTCTGTATAATAACCCTTCTTACATTAGAATGCAGTATCATGTTTCAGGTCAGTCTCCTTCCTCGCCCAGAACACTGTGTGTTCTTGGACAAGCTATTTGAGACTCAATTTTCTCATCTGTGATTTAAGGGTAATAATACTGATTGAATTGGTTTTAAGATTAAAGTAATGTGGGATTGTAGGTATTCAATGACAAGTAGTTGTTTTTGTTATCTTGGTTGTATCTAAAAGTACAGATTTTAAGTACATTACATGTATATAACTGCATCTGAATCTTTTATCATATATCATACATAACTAAATTATTCCCTTCAGCTTTCAAATCAAGGAAGAAGTAACTTGTTAGAACGACTTGCTTTTAGAAAAACTTTTAAATTTTGTCTAATGGTTCTCATCCCTTTCTTAAATGTGTTACTGCTTGATTTGTAAGATCAAAGTCATATTCTTTGAGAAGTGTTGATTAACTCTGAGAATTATATTTTCAAGTTTATAAGCATATTGTCATTTCTATTGCTATTATAAAGGTGATCTTATTTCTATTTTCAGCATTGCAGGGGGTCGTATTCTCTCAGTGATCAAGATGCAGCTGATTAAAGGCCAGAACAGCAGGGATCCTTTTTATAAAGCAGTAGAGGAGGTTGCTCAGGATTTGGATTTGAGGATTAAAAATATTATCAATTCTCAAGAAGGAGATGTAGCTTATAGTACCACTGACATCAGTCCTGCACGGGTAATGAGCTTTTTATTTTTTATTATCCTTCTATACAAAACATTATCTCTTTTACTTGTTGTAGGAATGGTTTACTGTTGCCGCTTAAGTCAGAAGAGTGTGTTTCCCGTGTTATAAGATGTTGAAAATTTAAGTTTCTCAATAGGATTATGAAGGATTATGTTCGACTTGGGTAAATCATAACATCTTTGGGCCAAATTGTCTGTATTTGTTAAAGTAGGGCATTGGATAAGCTTCAGTATCCCTTGCAGCACTAGAAATTTATAAATCTTGCTGGATATTAAGGTGTTTTGTCATATTTTTCAATAATTATTCTTATAAAACAATTATTTTCCCATTTACTCAGATACAAAATAGGAGCCTGGTTTCTCTGGTTCTGACCCCAGTACTAAGCACTCTGTAGAACAGCAACAGAAATGGTTTCTATTCAGCCATTTATTTTTCTTTTATAGATGGTACTAATGAAAAATATATGTTAAGCACCAGATTGTGATAGGTGTTTTGTTAAAATTCCAGTGTAGCTATACATTATAGTTCACCTGGTAGCCTGAGTCAGCCAAGGAGAGAAAGGAGGCCAAGACCATGTTGATGACAGCAACGCAACAGCACAGCTACAGCGGATGTCCCAGAGAGGGCAACTTGGATATCTGCCTACCATGTCCAACAATCCCATGGGTTACCCGTATTTTACCAGTGACTTGACTGAAGCGTAGCGAGGTTAAGCAACTCGCCCAGAGTTACACAGCACACACCACTAGTAAGTTGGTATCAAACCCAGCCAGAACTGCCTTCAGAGTTTGTGGTTGTACGTATCTATATATACTATTATGTTATCACATATTTCCCCTTATTCTTCTGTCTAGTCACTAAGTTCTTCTAGCTCCCCCTTTTTAATCTGCTCTTTCCTTGTCTCCACTGCTACTATCTTAGTTGCTACCTCTGTTGCTACCTTCTTCGTTTCTAAGCTGGACTATTATCGTCTCTTAATTTGTTATCCTGTCTCCAGATTTAATAACATTCTTACCCTGGAATATATTTTACACATTGCCATCATTTTTCTAAAATCTAAATAGGATCGTTTTATTTCCTTGCTTAATAAAGCAAGCGATTTTAACTCTGTAACAGACTGACTTATAACTTCTTTGCCTGATTTACAGAGCTTTCCCAGGCTCATCTTGTATAACTCTCTCTCTGTTACTCTGTTCTTCAGTCATATCATGCTATCTGATCCCTGAAAGTACCATACTCTCTTCTACCCCTGTGTGTCTCCTCCTCCATGAAGCCATCCTTGATTCCAGGGTAAACTGATCACTACCTTTTGTGTGCTTTCACTGCACCGTGTAAACGTTCTGTTAGAAATAGCACTTAGCACTCTGTAATGCAATTAGTGGTTACTTATTTTATCAAAGAGACTATGGGTTCCTTGAGGCAGTGGTTTTCACCTTTGTATCCTTAGCTTCAAACACAGGGCTTGGGACTTAGATGTACTTATCAATGCTTACTGAATGAATGAATGTCAACTAGTTTTTCATTTTTGCATTTGAATAGATCTTTACAGCCATCTGTGGAGTTGATATTCAGATCACCAAAACCCCATCTCTCTTTGGTATAAGAGAGAAAAAATACACAGAGAGACTGTATCATGAGGCTGAGGTCACATAGCTAGATAGTAGGTAAATTTTCTAACTTAAAGCCTAATGTTATTTTGACCAGAATCTAATGTCTTCCTTTGATTATACTATTTTCTGTATTCTTTTGTGCTTCTGGAAGTTGGTAATATTGATTTTAGTATGGCTTGAGGGAGAAGTATTCACATGTGTTAAAGCCACTTCTCATGGCTGATATTTTATTGCTTAAACACTAGAGGAGGAAGGAGAACAGGGGCACATGAAATGGAAAAGAATAATGACTGACTCAGCTGGGGTAATTATTACATTTACTTAAAATTATTTTTTGTTCTAGCCAAAATCTTATGCCATAAACCATGACACTGCATACTGTGGCAGAGATACCGTGAAAACTTTACTAGTTCTTTTGGATGAAGAAGCAGCCAGTGCTCCTACCAAAAACAAAGCAGAGCTTTTATATGACGATGAAAACACAATTCGTCATAATGGAACTTCCATTCTTACACTTTTTAGGTAAGTAATGTGGGAGTTATATATATGTGAATGTTAATTCCAGTCTGTAAAGGGAATTTTTGAAACAACACCTCATTGATTATAAAAGAAATACATGCTGTGATAGGAAACATGGAGACTACAGAAAAATATGAAGAGAGAAAACAAAAGTTAGTTAAACGGAGATTGAACATTTGAATGTGGGGAACTTAATACATAAAAAAGGTAGTATTTTGTGAGAGTATGACAGGTGTTTTTTGTTTTTTTCTTCTTATTCTTTTTGCTTTGGAAGTATTTATTTGTTTTGCTATGTGTGTCCAGAACTTTGCTAAATACTTTCACTTATATTGTCTCAGCCCTCATAACAACCTCTTTTAATAGTATCCCATTTTATAAGTGAAGAATTAGAGACTCAAGAGATATTAAGTAATTTGCTTAAGAAAGCTAAGTTAGCAAGCAGCAAAGATGTCTTTCCCCAAAGCCTGGCGTCTCTGCTCCAAGAACTGTGCTGTTCTGCCTGAGAATAGGGGAGAGCATATGCACCAAACTTCCATGGGAACTGACATTTACTGCTTCTTCCTCACATCGTGAAGAAAGATACTTACTAAATTAGTGTGGGTATTCTGTGCGAGACATTGATACTCTCCAGTTTTAACAACAATTAGGTCAAACATTGAGTTGGTTGGTGATATTTTTAATTAATGCACATTCATTTATAGAAACATTTAAAGAACAACCATTTTAAATTGTATTTAGTACATTGTGGAGAACTTTTACAAAATCATCCGTTTGATCTTTTCTATTTTCTTCTTGAGCTACTTTTTAGAAAGCTGATTTTGGTCTAAAATCGTTCATATCTGTCCAGGATTGCTTCATGCACGCTCTCTCCTGTACGTCACTATCTTTTCTCTTCTCTTAAAAACGAAACTTGGCAATGGTCTATATTCAGTGTTGTCCTCTAATTCCTTTAAATCTCGTCTTCTTCACCAGCTTTCCATGATTATGCTTTTATATCTGGGCGTGATATAATTCTTCCACATTCTACCTCAAAAATGCCCAAATATTTTCCTAACAGTGAAAATTTATTTTATCAACGATTTGCTTATACCCTGTGTTGGAATCTCAGAAAAGAGTACAAAGAAAGTGAACCTTTGTTTTTTCTCCTTTTACCTTACTCTGTTTAACAAAGTTTGTTTTTAAGTAGAGATATAAATTATTTAACTATTCTCTCAGATTGAATTCTACCATTTTCTTAGAGAAGGCTATTTTGTGTTATAGAATCTTTTTAAACAAAATTAATCCCCACATCCATTTTAAAGAGGCATTTTTCTGTACCTAATCGCACGGCCAAACACATTTCAGTTGTTTATATTACCCTAGCATTTCCAGTTGTCACTGTGCAAACAAGTGCCAGTCCATGCGAAAGTAAATTTTTAATGATCTGCATTGAAATGATAAAGTTAAGGACAATGTGGTGTATGAATATAAGTCAATGTAAGGTTATAAACTAGTCTTTCTTAGAATAGACTATCCTTTATTCTTATATAATGGTCTTTTGGGTCAAAGGAGTTATGACTCTGGCTCTATTAAGCCAAAAAAGAATTTATTGAGAAATCCAGGTTTGTCTGGCTCCAAAGCTCCAGTGTCTCCTTCTCTCTTGTGCCTTCTCTGACCCTTCTATTTCTAGACTATGTTTTTCTCTTTTGAATTCTCCTGCTATGGCACTTGTCCTTTTTTATTTTGAATTTTAGTTATGTGAATGTCTTATTTTCCTTACTTAGACTTCATTGGCCTGAATTCAGGGCCAATAAATGAATCAACTTTCTATCCTTCACAGTATCTTATATAGTGCCTTACATATAGTAGAAGCTGAAATATTTAGAGACTGAATAAATTAATTAAGCAAATTATTAACATATGAAACTCAGAATAGGAATACTGACACTTTTATATAGTATTATAAACAACTAGATTGAGTTGTCTTTTATCCCATAACTCCTTTCAGGTAGGGGAGGGGTGAAAACTAGTTTAAAAGCTACTTTGGTTTGTAAATTTTTGCTTTTTTTGAACATAGATCTCCCACACAAGTGAATAATTCATTGATGAAACCCCTAAGAGAACGCATCCATGAGTCAATGCAAGAGAAAAAATTTAAGGTACCATTTAATGTACTGTCATGAAAATGATGAAAATTGTTTTATTTTTAGAAGAAATAAATATATAAAGCTGAGCTGGTTATATTGTAAATATACCTTATACATGGAACAATAGAAATTAAATGGAAAATGAGTTATGACAGTTGACGTGCAGAAATTTACCTCTTTTACAATCTTGGCAAATCTGTCTCTGGCTTATTCAATCCATTGGATCTAAAAGAAGGAAAGGAATAAGGACCTGCTATGGTAAGTGTTCAATAAATATCTGTTCAGTGAAGGAAGGGGAAAATAAAGAAGACATGGTTTTCTCATTTGTATTTCTAATATCTTAATCTTGAGAGACTATATAATTTCAGTTTTGTTCCCTTCTAAAGATATAATGGCAGAATATAATTAATTGTAGATTAAGAGAAGGAGAACATTTCACATTGTTCCTTGTCTAGAGCTGTTCTATATAATTTCATTTGTTTGAACTAAGTTTTCCCGTCCTCATTTGAAACATTTGTGCCCATAAGTAGTCAATAACATGTTTTTCAAGCGCTTAAAATTTTCTTGGTCTTATTTTTCAAAAAGAAACTTGATCTTAATCCATTCATTTATTCAACATACATTTATTGAGTATCTGCTATGTGCCAGACCACTCTTCTATGGTTGGGAATTCATTCATTTGTTCAACAAAATTTTCATGTAAAATTTACAATTATCCTTAAATTATCAAGTAATTATCTTCATACAACTTTGAGAACTCTAATTTGTATGCTCTTTATATTCCCATTTGGAAAGTTAGTCCCAATTAGCAAAGCTTTTAGTTATCATCTGTTTCATATATATATCCCAAATCCATTTAGCTTATTTATACTTATGTCTTGTCTTTTTATCGGTTATTAGTAGTTGTTAGTAATTAATACCTATGGAATACATCACTGAATTTCGCACAATTTTTCTGTGAATAAAATATGTCAACTCTTTGTTATATTAACATAAATACTTGTAGTCAAGGCATAAGATTTTTTAAAAATAAAATCTATCCTTTGGACTTGATTAGAAACAGAAGTATGATGTATAAATTCTTTAATTTTTTTCCCTGCTATGGATACTGACAAACTTTAATATTTTTATTTAAAGACCATTGGGGTATTTTGTTAGAACTAAGTAAATCAAAATGAAAAAAATTTATCTGAAGAGTGAAAAGGTTTTTTTTTTATAGAAATTGTTAAGAGTCAACTAATTGCTATAAAATGTATAGACAAATTTAGAAAGTTTTGGGAAGTAGAAGAGAGATTGTCTAATCCAGTCTCATTTACAAATGAGGAGACCATAATCCCGAGAAAGCATCTTATTTAAGATCTCATAACTACCATGAAATATTTTATGCCAGTCTACAAAGCTGTGGTTAAATACCAATGAGATTATAATTGCATTGCTTCCGTTACTTAATAATGGAGCTAGCTTAGTCTATGTAGCTCTGAAACTAAATGGCAATAGAGAAAGGAAGGAATTGGTGTTTATGATTATATTTTACAGTACAGTACTCTTTATAAAAGCAAAATGTGAAAGTAATTGGTTTAGCCAGGTATACAGCTGAACCATAGCCAAGTAGAGCACTTGTTAGAATAACAAAAAATGTTCCAAATATTTACTACTAAATAACTATGGAGAAGTGGTTTAACAGCTTATTACTTTATTATCCTATTACTTTTGCTCTTTTGGCATACAATTCTTTTTTTAGTCATGGAAAGAATATACAATCTGTGCTTGAAATACTGTCTTAGAGCACTTCAAAGGTAGAAAATATTAGGGAACTTAGAATTTTGATGTCGTAGATGATACTTGATTGGAAAATAGTTCATGTCATTATATGGGGCAAATGAATTTTTCTTAGATTTTAGTTTCCTCCTTCGTAAATAGAAATAGACATTCCTCTGATGGCAAAATTCTGTGAAGCCACTTTGGGAAATGTTCATTAACATACTCATTTTAAGTCCACAAGTTTTATTTCCTACTGTAGCTTATTAGGAAACTTGTCTATGATGGTTAAATAAATTCCCCTGTGAAGGAAATGAGAAGCTTCTTCCTGAACCTTCATCATTTTGATAAGAACCTTTAGAGAATGTTTTCTCCCCATTCTTACCATTTATATAAGTACCCTTATACCTTTTTATTAAAAGATTTTTCAAGGAGATGCTTACCTCCTTATACCTCTGTAAATGAATTAGTTTTATGTCTTCCAGCTTGGTTTAACAGTATTTTGCACATCAGGAACAACTGAAAAGTCATATATCTAGGTCTTTTCCTTATTCTGAGTCTAATGCTTTCCCCCATATTATATGTATGTCAGAATAATCATCAGCATTAATGACTTAACAATTTAAGTGAACTGATCAGGAAAATACTGGATCTTTAAAACATAGAGTAGTTGGGACAGTGACAAGTAGGGTTTAAATAGTTTGAAAAAGTAGACTGACCATAACTTTGGTACCTTCGTAAGCAGCCAGGCAGTCTAATGCTCTTGGTGTTAGAAAATTCTTAATTAGATATCCAAGTTTAAGCTTTAGGGTATTAGAAAACTCTGAGTATATCCCAGTTAACATGGCGGACAGAGTTCAACTCATAGAATTTCCCTCCCCTTAAAATGAGTATGAAATAGTAAAAACTAGCAAAAATATTCACCAAGAGCAAACAGCAAAGAATAATGTAATTAAGTACAATAAACTTCAAAAATGATGGCCAAGGAAAGAAACCGAAGATTTCAGAGTGAAAAGGCACAGCATGACTTAGTGACCTACTCTAGCCCCAATCCCCAGATGCTATATTAGTGAGCTGACAAAATCCTGAGAATTATCACTAATATTTCCAAAACTGAGAAGCCAACTAAGTGTGTGTGTTCTTATTTTTTTTTCTTTTCTTGTCTGAGAAATGGTAGATGTAGCAACTGGATATTAATGTGGATAAAATGTGGGAAATGAACCCTGGGATTTACACGCTTATGCAAGTGAAGGCTCTAGTGCTACACACTGACTTGGGGAAATGATCCAAATGATCCCCTTCCATTTGAATGAAATAGAGTCCCTAAGCAGAGGGAGTGAACCTTCTTAGAGTACAGTTAGTGCATAATAAACTCTTAGAAAAGAGTGCAAAACCCAGAAATTTTTTCAAACTGCCTATCTCCTCAGCTGAACACTACTTCTGCCTCCATCGTTCCTCAGGCTTCAGAACAATGAAGGATAACAGAAAGTATATAGCCTTCAAAATGTAACTGAGGAGAAAATAAAATGCTCTCAAATAAGGAGGGAACAAAATCAAGAAATCACTCACAGACTTGGAGGCTTCTGTTTCTAACTAGGATATAGTAGGTCACGGCAGAATACCATTTCTGCTACAATAACAAAGTAAAAGGCAGATAAATTGGGGAAAATATATTGTAAAGATGTAGGAAAGGTATGTAAACAAAGCGGTTTAAATAAACTAAGTTGGAGAGGGTCAAGTTCTTCTGAGGTGATGAGTCTATTATCAGCTGTTTTCTTCGTGAGATTATTTGCCAGTTTTGGGTATGAGCTGAGGATTGATGTTGGCCCATGTAAAGGAACACTCCTGAGAGAAAGAGGAACCAGCAAAGATTTTTGAGTGTCTTAAGGGGCAGGCAACAATTTGGTAACTTCAGAAGCCCTGAATGCGTAGTTATTTTTACCTAGCACGTATGCTGTATTTTGGAGCTGAGTGGGAGGCCAAAGAGCCTCAATCCAGTAGACTAAAACCACTTGTGGTCTTGAGGTAGCTAGAAGACAAGGCTCTGCTTGAGGAGTGGGACCTGCCTCAAACACATGGCTGTCTCCTTCTCAAGATATATGTCACATTTGGAAATGAAGTGAGATGGGAACACAACGTAAAAACCTCTGAAAGACAGACTGAATCCCCCAGACTTTCAGGTCAGGGGTGATAGAGATTCATACGGCTCTCAGGTATAAGCCTGGGAGAGACATTCTTGAGGAAGAGGTAAGAACCAGAAGTCGAATAGGAGTCATGACAACTGCAACCCAGCTCTGACCCAGCTCAGTCCCTGAATGCATTGAGGTTATCAGCCCTTCACTGAGTCTGACTTTAACAAAGACAAGGGAAACCCTTCTTGATAGAAGAAAGCTCTTCATCTGGAGCCTGTATAGTTCCTTTATACACAATATCTAGCACAAAATAAAATGCACTGAATGTGAAATGAGGCAGGAAGATTTGTCCTTTAATCAAGAGAAAAAACTAACCATAGAGGCAGACTCAAATGATCTGGATAGTAGAATTAGCTGACAAGGAATTAAAAAAATTTTCAACATGTAAAAGTAATTAGAGGAAAAAAATGGGCAAAATGGATGAAAAATTGGGGAATTCCAACAGAGAATTAAAATCTATAAAACAGAACCAAATAGACATTCCAGAACTGTAAAAACATTATCTAAAAATAAGAACTTATTAGATGAGTTTAATAGTAAACGAGACATAGCATTAAGTAGCATAAGTGGACTTGAAGATAGGTCATTAGAAAAATCTCCAAACTTAAGGCAAAGAGAGAATAAAGAATAAAAAAGCAAAAAAGAAGAGCATGACAGAGAAAAAGTCTAACGTATGCGTAATTGGAGTCCCGAACAAGAGGAGAAATAGGATAGAAGCAATATTTGGAGATATAATCAATGTAACTTTTCCAAAGCTTAACTGGTCTTTTCACGTCAGGTAGTTTACTAATATAAAGTTGCATATGAGTTCCAATATTATGGACCCAGCAAATAAAAATGTCCCTGAGTCCCTTGAGAATCCATTTGCAATACATGAATATGCCACAGGACATAGATTGTAAAGCTTTGTTCTAGGGCAGTGCTTTCCAATAGAACTTTCTGTGGAAATGTTCTGTGTTTGTGCTGTCGAGTACTATAGGTGCTTAGCCACATATGGCTACTGAGCACTTGAAATGTGGCTACTGCAACTGAAGAACTGGATTTTTAATTTTAATTAATTAA